TCATGTATACGCGCAGTGGCGTGGTGGCAGGGGGGGTAGCTGTTGACTTTGGGGGACGCTGAATTGAATACGAGTCATCAAGTTTTAAAAATGGGCTATAAAAAATGAAAAACGCATTTGAAACAGAACAGTTATTTTTGCAGTTATATATTCAGTGAATGAAGTTAACTTTAAGGAATTAGGGAAAAAGTAGACAGACCAAAATGAAACCTTGTAAGGGGGTTCGATTAAAGAATAAGATATTGACGAACATTCTATAATTAGATGTTTCGTTTGTGGCCACAACGCCTGCGTGATTTGTCACGATGACTGTAGACAACATACATGCAGGGGAGAAACTAGAATGCTATTTTCGTAATATTCATATATTCAGCTTGCCTGTTGATTTCTATTGAATTTAACATCGCCAACAAAAGAAATCAACAGCAAGGCAGAGCTGAATATATGAATATTTACACCACCCAATTAGCATTCTAGTTTCGCCTATGCATACACGGCCAAATTGTCCTCTTAAGGGCAACAAGGCCTTAAATGTGTATTTTGCCTATCTTAATCAATGTTTTGCTTCCTCACAGACTGTAATCGTTACTGGCATTGTCTCTTATTAACTGAGCGTAGTAATATATTTTTTAAAAATGACAGTAGTGCAGTCATTGGTAAATTGCTATCATAATGCATAGTCTAACATGAAGTAGCCCTTAATGATGCCGCAGCATGTACTGCATTGTTGGTATTGTGTTATTTACATTTTCATCATTACGACGATTCATTTGTCATTTTCAATAGTAAAGCAAGTTATTATACGGTAAAACTTTTAAATCACTTTAAGCTTCTTCGTAAATGTTCAAGATTCATTTATCCGCAGTTATCGAATGTGCATAACAGCATACATTTAATTGAAATTAAGATATTTTTTAAACAAAAACATTTGAAGACCAATTAAATTCATGTCTCAAAATGCAAAACTCTCATTTTGAGCAGATGTAATACCGATGTAATTCACACAACAAACATTTCATTTGATAATTCCGTTTGTGTTGGGAAGTCTACTTTAATATTATTTAATGTATATCATGGATCATGGTGCAATGTTAAAGACTAACTGCAATGTCTAATTCTTTCAACACCACAAAGAAAAAAAGTCGGGTGCTGAGTATCGAAGATTAAAGAAAGCTAGACAAGAAGAATTTTCAAAACTTCGAGGAGTTTTGCTTGATTACTTTAAACCTATACAAAATGACCCACCATGCATTTTGTCACAAACATCAAAGGAGTTAGAATTAAAACTCAGGGAAACGCCGAACATCAGTGAAGACCTTAAACAAGTGCATGCGCAAGAAAAATCTGAGTCGACAGATGTAAACGATCAAGATGAGCATACTTTCAAATCAATCAAAAGCAATGATTCTGTTGGTGAATTCCTTGATATTGACAGCTTTGTCAATTCAAATCAACGTAAGGAAGGCGAAGGCATCTCAGAATCTGCTGAAAATGAATTGAATCGAAATATTTCTATTGATACGAAAGGAAACACGTTTGATCCTGGGACAGTTGTTGATCTTAATCTCAGCATTGGCGAAAAAAGGCGTTTACATAAAATGAATCCATGCCAACCATCCCAGTTTGTTTTGAAACAAAGGAGGATAGTACAAGGAGATCGCACTCGCTATTGCTTCCAGCAGGTTTTTTCCCACGATGATGGAACAAGACGAAAATGGATTTCCTATTCACTAAATGAAGACAGCATGTTTTGCATACCATGCATTCTGTTTACAGATGTAACGTCTAGGGGAAAAAAAATATTCGGTCAAATCAAGGAAAAGCTTTTGCAAACATTGGTTTCTCCAAATGGAAAAAGCAGCATATTAGAATTCTGGAGCATGAAAAATGCAATTCTCATCTAAACGCAAAAGTTGCAGAAGCTCTTTTCCTTCAAGAAAACTCAATATCGGATCAGTTTCATCACCAGGGGAATATCGAGTCTGAAAGACGTAAAAAGGAAGTTGTTTTAAACAAAACAGTTTTGAAACGTGCGATACATGTTATTATGTTTCTTGGAAGACAAGGGCTTTCCTTTAGGGGTCACTGTGAATCACTGAAAAATTTCTATGTTAATACAGGAAACTTTTTGGAAACGCTTAAATTATTGTCAGAGTACGATAAACCAATCAATGAGCATCTTGAGAAAGTTCGTGATCACCAAGTGAAGCAATCGATAAAGGATGGTGGTAAAACTGATGAAAAAAGAATCAAAGGACGTGGCTCATGGCTAACGTTTTTGAGCAACGATATTCAAAATAAGTTAATCAATATAATTGGTAAAGAAATATCTTCTGTAATTGTACAAAAAATACGCAACTGCAGAGCATGGGCATCGATTGATGATACAACACCCGATATAACTCATACAGAGCAATTGAGTATATGCGTAAGGCTTGTTAATGAAACTGGCGAGTGTTCTGAACACGTTTTGTCATGCCAAAAAGCAATTGGAACAACTGCACATGACCTATACACTGCTATTGCAACAATATTACAATTGCATGGAGTTTCATTTGAAAAACTTGTTGCCCAAACGTATGACGGAGCATCCACTATGAGCGGATGTTATAATGGTTTGCAGGCAATTGTAAAAGAGAAAATCGGAAACGGCATTATATTTGTTCACTGCTATGCGCATACGCTAAATCTCGTCTTGTCCGATTCAGCTTGTGTTGCTATTGATGTCATTACTCTTTTTGACTCTCTCGAAAAACTGCACGTTCTCTTTAATAATTCTCATAAAGTACACGAATTGTTTCAATTGGTTCAAAAGAATGAAAACCTCAAAATTTTTTCGATTAAACGTCTTAATAGGGTTCGATGGAATGCAAGAGAATTTTGTCTAAACGTATTTCTTTTGAGGTTCGAGTGCATCATGCGAGTGCTCCAAAAAGTAGCTGAGGAAAGATCGTTCACTGAAAGTCAGCGAGCAACTTCAAATGGATTGCAAGCAGCTTTTCAGACAAAGCAATTTGTTGCGACTGCCTGTCTTTTCCAAGAAACTTTTGGAATTACTGGACCTTTAAGTCGATATCTACGGAGCGTAAATGCTGACTTTGGAAAAGCAATGGATATGGTTGATAGCTCAATTTCTAGAATTCAAATCATACGTGACAAACCAGAAAAAATCATTGAAATGTCCGATTCCTTTTGCGTTAGATGTCGAATGGAGGTCTCACGACCTCGTCGTCGACGACCAATGGACGGAGAACAAGCCAGAGATGATTGGCAGATTCACCAAAAGCACAATGGAGGCGAGACACATTTTATAAAGTGCTAGATTCCATTCAATCTTCAATGAAGAATCGTTTTGAAAAGAATCGACCACTAATGAATTCATTTGCTTTATTCGCACCCAATCAATTTGACGAGCTCTCGAGCAAGTACAAGACATCTCACGACTTCAATCTGCAGTGAAAGCTTTTTGTGATGTGTATAAGATAGATCCCCTAAGATGCGCTACTGAACTGTTAAGCTTTGCAGAAACATTTAAAAAATTTCACTGTTCTCAGTTTAAAAGTTGACACAAAATGTTGATCTTTTTTTAGACTTTTGGGTCCTTAAAGATTGGTTTTTTCGCGTATGATGGTGAGGTGCTGTGATTGGGTCTAATTCACCTAAATTTATGCGAAAATAATTGTAGCCAATCTGCAATGCCTTTAAACATTCAAAAATATGATGAATGACAGGGTAAGTGTCCCATGCATTGGTTTTGAAAAACGTTTTTTACAAACTCTAACCCCAATCTCACTTATTAGTAATTATAAAGTATGGTTTTACCCATAAAGTTGGTAGTAAATTTTAACACCTAATTTAATTCACACCCGGGTTATGTGCATCCCTTCTCATTGAAGTTATTTAACTCGTCAATTATACTATATGTAACTACCAACTATTGTACCTGCGAAATAAACTATACAGGCTTACAGGAATGCTACTCGATGCTTTAAAAATGTTAAACAGAAAATTTGTAAATATCAGTAAATTAGTGAAGCAGGTGTTTCTCTAAAAGACGAAGCTCTGTCATCACGACTTCATGGGAATGGAAGCAACCACTACATTTTAAGAATTTGTCTTTAATTAGTTTAATTTTACACAAAGCTGTAAACAGCGTTGAAAACACTTTTAACTAGGTTGAACGTGATAGGGTATGCATTGTAATACCTTCGATAACAAATGTCTTCGGGAAAATATTTGCTCAAAATGCAGATGCTAAAAACAACTAAAAACATTACACTTCACACTAATTCACAATGACAATACACAATTGACACCCACACATTACAACTAAAAACATCACACCTAAATCACACATCACAACTAAAAATAAAATATTTCACTTTACACTAATCCACAATGACAATACACATTTCCTGTACACACAATACAATGACGTAAGAACCAGATAACAAATACGGCTAACCTGACGTTTACTCCTCATTTGACTCTGAAGATGACTACCGCTAAGGTTGTCGAAACGTCAGTTAACAACAACAAAAACAGTACTTCTCAGGACTATACCAACCTGGACGATCTACTTTTACAAACATGTAACGATATTCCCGTTCTCAAACCATTTACTTTAAATATTTGTTTTATAGTTGCTAACCAATTAGTAGATGTTGTGGAAAAGCAATTACATTTTGAAGAAATTGGACTAACGTTGGACTAACAAATATTCAAAATGAATCATTGTGCGCTGAACCGCAACTTGGAGAAGAATCGCATTCCACAACTTCGGTTGAGCAGTTATATATTGATGATGCGATTTTAACACCGCTTGCACTAGAGAGCCTCTAAAATTGTGATGCTTTTGAGATGAATTCTTTCCATGGTTTGTAAGTAATATATATTCTCCTTTTACTTGTCAGTCTTTTTATAAAAAAGATGTTCCAGTTACATATTAGAAAAGAAAAGCATCTATTAATTTGATTTTATTGTAATAATGGTGTAAAATATCATTGGGGGAATTCATTCAAGTGGAATATAAAAATAGAACAGTCAGAAGTAATGTGGCTTTTTGCCTATCTTTACCACATTAATATGCCGATTACATGGAGCAATTTTAGCCCGGGCCTGTTATGATATCCTAACATAATAGCGTACGCGTATACAGTGGCGTGGTGGCATAGTTTTTACTGCGGTGGCCAACACAAATTTTCCGCCCCTTTCACCTTTTCTTATAGCTATTTTCAAGTATTTTAGTTATTTTTATTTTATAAAACACAAACATGAATCTTCATAAAAAGAAAGTAACTTAAAAACCAAGTTTCATCAAGCAATTATATGTCTGTCACGTTTTTTGTTTTTCATAGAAAAATATATTTATATTAATACCTTTGCAAGCGTTGGGGAGGTTTTCCCAAGTAAAGTTATGATTCTATCTATGTCGATAGAAAGGAGAGTTTCCCTTTCAACGTCCATTAAAAGCAATGATTCCAGGCGTTCCTGTACCATCGTAGATTGAATCCTCGTTTTTACTCTCTTCAGCGAAGAAAAAGAACGTTCAGCAGTTGCTGAGCTAATGGGTATGGCCACTGTAATTGAATAAACTTTGCATAATGTCAGTGGCGTAGCTAGCGAAAAACATTTGGTCGGGCTCACGAGGCGCCACCATGGTTGGCGCCGAGCGAAAAAATTTTCCGAATTTAAACTCCCTAGAACGTCGGAAACGGCTATCTTAGAAAGCAAATGCGTGATATTTATGCAGGAAATAGAACCATTTTGGTTAATTTAAATTGCCGAAGGATCTTATAGTAAAGCAGAGAAACAGTTCAAAAATAGTTGCAGATATGTGATTTATTTTCTCAACACCACATACATAAATAGATACCTATGTACATCTTGTAAAGAAACTTTGACAAAAGAACCGAAAAAGGCTCAGATTTGTCATCAACAACTATCAAAAGTTGTGATGCCGTTCATTGTCGTGCTGAAATGACAATCATCATTGCCTGCATTAAAAAGTTCCCGGAAAAATTCTCACATGCCATGGACGTAAGACATCATCATCTTGCTATCAGCCATATATGAATACCTATTTGTATAAGAAAGCAAGTCTTCGTGGTTTCTCAATGAACTTCTTTACTACCTCATCATGCAATGTGTTGGCGTCTTCTTTCTCTGACAGTATGTCTTTGTGAATGGAAATCCTGCAAAGAGAACTAAAACGTCCTTGGCTCATAGTATTTCTAAGATAACTTTTTACCCTCTTCAAACAAGAAAATGACCTCTTAACTGAAGTACTTGTGATTGACAAAATCCCATTTATCTTTAACAGTTTTACAACTTCTGCAATACTAGATTGAAGATGGAACTGAAAAATATATTTCAATAGTTCATCGCATGAATCAGGGTAAAAGTCTTTATCTCTGTAAATAAAACAAAGTTGGCTAACTAGCATTGGTATGTCAAACATATCACCATAAACCTCCTTTAGAAGATTTATCTTTTCTGAGGGCACTTCACCTTTCCACATCTTAAACACCCTAGGTTTAACAAGGTCTAAAAATCTAAAACGCTCCATATCCTGAAATTGCTCAGTCAGCATAGTCACAATTGTGTCAAGAATTTCAAAATACATTTGTTTGTAATTATGCCGTTGGTCATACCTGGTTACTGGTGGCCCCACTTTCTCAACAGCCAGGTTGTACACCTGACAATATTCTGTATCATTTCTCAGAGAAGCAACAAAGGCCTTGAATCTCTCAACCCTACTCACTCCATAATGAAAGTCAGTGTCCTTGTCTTGCAAGATAGAATAAAGTATGGATGACTGCTCAAGAATTCTCTGGAAAACAAGTACCAAGAAACAAAACAAGAAGCCATTAAGGTAGCCAAGTAAACCAGTAACCTTACTTAACGTTTCATCATCCCAACCTATTGGATTATCAGTAAGATTTTCAAATATGTCTATCAGTTTCTCATAGTTAGAATGCAAGACATTGATGACACGAGCCCTATAATACCATCTTGTGTCACCAGGACTAGGAAACTCAAGCCTATGGGATGATAGTAAAGCTTTTCTTTTGGGGGAATTGCTAGTAAAGGTGCAGAAAGCAGTAATATTAACAAAGAAAATCTTAACAGGTGAAATGAAGGATGCAGCTTGACATAATACTAGATTTAGTCAATGGGCAGCACAGTGAACAAATTGAGCATAAGGATAATCCTGCTGAACTTGAGCTTGAACACCATTGAGATGATCAGACATAACAGATGCACCATCATAAGTCTGTCCAATAAATTTCTCTTTCACATTATTATATTGACTTAACTTACCCTTAAGCACTGATGATATAGCAGTTGCAATCCTATCACAACTAACATCAACAAACCCAAGCTGTCTTTCAATGACACTTTCCCCTTTGTCCATTCGAACAATTACACTCAATTGTTCTTTGGTAGAAACATCAGTTGCCTCATCAACCTGTATACTTAAGAAAGTGCAGTAATCTATTTCCTTTAAAATCTCATCCTCTATTATCTTATCAAGACAATCAATCAAATCATTCTGAATATCAGGAGAGACTTCAGTAAACCGCCCTCCCCCAGCAAGGTGGGTTTCAGCAAGTCTGCCATGTAATCGCCTTTCAAAAACAGAATCCATCTTGACAAAACTTTCAAGTAGCTCTATAATTTCCTCTATTCATGCTGCTACTAGATTCATCATGCCCCCAAAATGCAAGCTCTTGCATTTATAAAAGTAAAGACAAGTATAAAACAGCTTCTGTTATGGTTTTCAACATTTCCCTATTTTGCCTTACCTCCTCGTTATGACGCTGAATCTCTTCACGTCTAGCTTGTGACATGAGACAGTCGACACGAGGCTGAAAACCGTAGGTCTTCCAGGTCTTGTAAGCACCCATGTGCGATTTTGCCTTCTCATGCTTCTTACAATCGGATAGGAAATTCTTCATGTTTTTGAATCCCGTCTGCGTCCATGAAGATGACGATCCAGGGCAAAACAAAAGACAAGGCCAACAGAACAATGCATTCTTTTCTGAGCTACCACAAAGCCAATCTTTCTTCGAGTACCAACTTTCCTAAAAGCTTCTATTGCCTGAGTCGCTTGTAAATTTGGAATTGGCCGCTGCTTTACGAGTATATTTTGCTCGCCTGATTGTCGAACAGAAAACGGTTTCGTTTGTAGTTCACTTATTATATCGATTTCATTAGCCGAAGCCATTGTAATGTAAGTTATCACGATTTCCGAACCTATATTTCGAAAGCTCAAAATTCAAGTCACGCTTTTGAAAATGAGCCCGACTAGATGTTGTTAAACGTTTGAGTGTGTTCACAGCTACTCTCAACCAATTAGATTACAGATAATCCCACTATAGATTTTACTACTTGGTCGGGCTGAATTTTCAGAGCCCGACTAAACTGCGTAATGCCTGGTACTAGAAATGGACTAGTTATTGTTGCTAAGTAACGTTTAAAAATATGATAATTTTGCTAATAACAACGCAATTTGACAAATATTACACTAATAGACTGTGGATTATTCCAAAAACAGTCGCAGAATTTAAAATTTTCTCAAATCCAATTTTAAAGAAAACAAATTTTTCATTTTTGGGAAAATATTTGGTCGGGCTGGGCCAGACCGCTAGCTACGCCACTGCATAATGTTGGGTATGCGTCGACTAAATGGTACTTTGGAAAACAAAGCAGCTTCAAGGCATCTAAGAATGACGGAGTTTTAGCCTTCTCGGTAATTGACGCATTATTCGAATGCTTACTTATGTCAGTATCAGAATGATTTTCATCATCACCATCACCATCATCAATAGTTTCAAAGTTCTGCTCATTATGATCATGGTCACTTTGAGTTTTAAACTGAGAACAGTGAAATCTTTTAAATGTTTTTCAAAACCAATGCATGGGACACTTACCCTGTCATTCATCATATTTTTGAATGTTTAAAGGCATTGCAGATTGGCTACAATTATTTTCGCATAAATTTAGGTGAATTAGACCCAATCACAGCACCTCACCATCATACGCGAAAAAACCAATCTTTAAGGACCCAAAAGTCTAAAAAAAGATCAACATTTTGTGTCAACTTTTAAACTGAGAACAGTGAAATTTTTTAAATGTTTCTGCAAAGCTTAACAGTTCAGTAGCGCATCTTAGGGGATCTATCTTATACACATCACAAAAAGCTTTCACTGCAGATTGAAGTCGTGAGATGTCTTGTACTTGCTCGAGAGCTCGTCAAATTGATTGGGTGCGAATAAAGCAAATGAATTCATTAGTGGTCGATTCTTTTCAAAACGATTCTTCATTGAAGATTGAATGGAATCTAGCACTTTATAAAATGTGTCTCGCCTCCATTGTGCTTTTGGTGAATCTGCCAAATCATCTCTGGCTTGTTCTCCGTCCATTGGTCGTCGACGACGAGGTCGTGTAGACCTCCATTCGACATCTAACGCAAAAGGAATCGGACATTTCAATGATTTTTTCTGGTTTGTCACGTATGATTTGAATTCTAGAAATTGAGCTATCAACCATATCCATTGCTTTTCCAAAGTCAGCATTTACGCTCCGTAGATATCGACTTAAAGGTCCAGTAATTCCAAAAGTTTCTTGGAAAAGACAGGCAGTCGCAACAAATTGCTTTGTCTGAAAAGCTGCTTGCAATCCATTTGAAGTTGCTCGCTGACTTTCAGTGAACGATCTTTCCTCAGCTACTTTTTGGAGCACTCGCATGATGCACTCGAACCTCAAAAGAAATACGTTTAGACAAAATTCTCTTGCATTCCATCGAACCTATTAAGACGTTTAATCGAAAAAATTTGAGGTTTTCATTCTTTTGAACCAATTGAAACAATTCGTGTACTTTATGAGAATTATTAAAGAGAACGTGCAGTTTTCGAGAGAGTCAAAAAGAGTAATGACATCAATAGCAACACAAGCTGAATCGGACAAGACGAGATTTAGCGTATGCGCATAGCAGTGAACAAATATAATGCCGTTTCCGATTTTCTCTTTTACAATTGCCTGCAAACCATTATAACATCCGCTCATAGTGGATGCTCCGTCATACGTTTGGGCAACAAGTTTTTCAAATGAAACTCCATGCAATTGTAATATTGTTGCAATAGCAGTGTATAGGTCATGTGCAGTTGTTCCAATTGCTTTTTGGCATGACAAAACGTGTTCAGAACACTCGCCAGTTTCATTAACAAGCCTTACGCATATACTCAATTGCTCTGTATGAGTTATATCGGGTGTTGTGTCATCAATCAATGCCCATGCTTTGCAGTTGCGTATTTTTTGTACAATTACAGAAGATATTTCTTTACCAATTATATTGATTAACTTATTTTGAATATCGTTGCTCAAAAACGTTTTCCATGAGCCACGTCCTTTGATTCTTTTTTCATCAGTTTTACCACCATCCTTTGTCGATTGCTTCACTTGGTGATCACGAACTTTCTCAAGATGCTCATTGATTGGTTTATCGTACTCTGACAATAATTTAAGCGTTTCCAAAAAGTTTCCTGTATTAACAAGGAAATTTTTCAGTGATTCACAGTGACCCCTAAAGGAAAGCCCTTGTCTTCCAAGAAACATAATAACATGTATCGCACGTTTCAAAACTGTTTTGTTTAAAACAACTTCCTTTTTACGTCTTTCAGACTCGATATTCCCC